CACCAAGTTATGCCACAAAAGAGAAACCACTTACCGAAAGGGAGAAGGATCTGGAAGCATGATTAAAAAGTTTTGTCGTTGCCGGAGGGCAACAGAGGAAAGAATTTGTGGAAAAAATAAATGTTGAGCAACAGTAGATAGAGTCCCAGCAGGAGGAGATACTAGCTCATAAGCATACCATAGTGCATTGCGCACTTCCCAAGACGAACTGAAGAAGTATGTTGAGTCACAACTAGCCAAACTTGGTGGTATAAGAGTTTATTTCAAGGTAAATACATTTTCAGATGTTTTCTATATTGAGAAGCTTGATGAATTGTCGTTGCTAGCTTAGTCAACATCCTTGGAAAGAACAAACTGGTTATTATGTTCGAATTATTTGTTGTCTGTGCAGGTATTTGTTGGGCAGTGAGGGAAGAAGCATCACCACATTTTGGTTCCTCTAGGGTAATGTCGGTATCTATAGAACTTGTTTAAGACTTAAGTTGATCTGGTATGAACAACTGTTGGTATGAACAACTATTTAATAACTATGTTTAAGACTAAAGACTGATGTGCATGAAATCCCCTAATGTAATGGATGTTCTACAAATTTATGAGAATAGTATGTAATGGATGTTCTTGCATATTTATGAGAATGTCACTATGTTGATGACTATTATAGATATGTGTGTGAGAGCAGGTTTAAGAATAGTGCAATGCAATGTGTCCATAGACTTCCAATGACAGAGTGAGTTGTCATGAAATAGCCTAATTTGTCAGAATAATGATCCCATACACAATTGTTGACAAACAAAAGTTATCATAATTACTATTTCACTTGACAAAATATGGTTGTCATAAATATACCACCAACATATCTACTGTTGTGACAAAAAGTAGTGACAAAGTATTTGGTCACGATAATTATTTTGTCAAAAATATGTGGCCACTTCCACTGTTATTGTGACAAAAACAGAACCTATTATGACAAAATTGTCGTGCATTTTGACAAGAGCGGTCGTCACAACAAGCATGAATTTTTGACAAACAAAAGTCAACGGAATACGTTGACGAAGTTATGAAATTTTTTTTTGTAAAAAGAAGTTATTTTGATGATTTAGTCGTGACGAACGGTTTGAAAAAAAATCGTCAAAATAACACTATCATAACAAAAATATGTCTATTACGATAAATCGTCCTTGTCACAACTAACCAAAATTGGTGCAGTGATTGTGAATTTTTGAGACGTTTATAGTTATGTGCGAGAGTGTTTGCTACGGATTGAATGAGTTTTGTGGTGTTTGAATAACTTAGAGAAATTTTTTGGAACCTTGTTGATTAGCCCAGTTTTTTTTATTTGAGGGTTCCAAACACCTTGTCTTATGCATCTACCTTCTCATTGTTCTTTTGAAATTTTAAGATGATCGGGATGGTGTGCGTTATTAGGAGCAGTGTAGCATTATGAGGATTATCGATGATGAGAGATTTTACTTATATTTCCTCTTGGATGTGTTGATATTGTTCACTATCTAGGTTGTGACATGTATGCATGACTCTCTCCCCAATCTTGGACTCCAAATGTTTGCAAAAATGTGCTCAAGTTTGAAAAAATCTTTTGAAAAATGAGTCTTCTCACGTGAGAGCCAACCAGGCATAGTGTTTAAGTCCAACCGTCTTAGGGATTATCTCTTAATTAGGAGTGCCATTTGAGGATGTGTATGGAGATCTCATTCTCCTGACACCGCTCCTCCTGAAGGACTTATATGAGATGAGATAGTGTGCCTTTGTGCAAGTAAAAGAGACCTTGGATCTCGTTTGTACCCACATATGTGACAACTCGTCTGTCGTTGAGACGAGAAGTGTACGCTGGGATTTGGTGCTTGAGAGAGCGAACTAACGTCCAAGTTCCAATGCTTCACCTTTTACTATTCCATTCTCTCAACCATCACTTTTCCCACATGAGGCCGAGATCGAGAAAGCAATATCCTTTTGCTCTTAGCCACGAAGGAGAGAAGACTTATTTGCAAAAATGAAAAACTATGGTGCCATGTTTAGTAATGTAAAAAGAGGCTCAATTTTTAAAATTAATAAAAAGCACCACCAGTGAGTCCATTGCTTTTCAATTGTTTTCTTGAGAGTCCCCCGATACACTTCTTAAATGATAAACCTCTTTAGTCGACATGGTCCTCATCCAAAAGTTTGTGTTTTTACATCGAGATGGAAGTATTGCTTACTCGACCCTGAATATTCTTGAAAATGCAACTGAAGAACTATAGAGCATATCATTTTGATTGTTTATCAAGTTGTACTGGTTAGAGTACGTAAGTGTGGAGGAGTTGATAACACCCAACATTGTGTTATTAAGCCCCTATATTTTAGATATTTTTATGTCATTTCATGGTCACCATGGTTAATATTTCATCAAATGCATCTCGAATTGATTCCTCAGAGTAATTTATGTCATTTTAGGGTGTATTAGATGATACTTGTGCTTTAGGTACAAAAAGTGGTCACAAGTTTAGGAAAAGGAGCAAAACAAGGAGATCATGTCTAAGGCAGAGATCACGTCCGAGAAGAGGAGGCGCAAATTCAAGCAAAAGATTGTAGCCTCTGGAGCAAAGATCGCTCTCCCAATATGGGGAGCGCCAACCATGAACTTGAGGAAGCAGCCACCAAGGAATGGATAGAGTGTTTCGATAGTTAATTGGCACCCTTAGTTGTCCAAGACCGGGAGAAAGATCGCGGCCATGAAGTGAGGATGCACTCTCGTAGCCCTCAACCACTTACTTGTTAGTCCTCCTAAAGTCTATAAATAGGGGACTCCTTCATCTTTATAAGAGAGTCGACTTTGAGAGAGAAAATTAGGATTTTGGAAAGTTTTAGAGAGAGAAACACTTTGAGAGAGCTTGAGAAAGGTTAGATCTAGCCAAGAATCAAAGGAGAAGGTGCAAGTCAATGAGAAGAAGATGATTTCCATCACTTCTTATCTTCTAAGTTTGTATCTCTTTTCTCTCTCTATGCTTTGAATAGCTATGGTTGTTTAGGGAAGATGAACACTAGCTTATAGTTTGTGTATGAGTCATTTGTAAACATGCTTATGAACCTATTTATCTATGTCTATTGATGTTTGTGCATAAGAATCTCTTGTTTGATTGTGATTGGTTTGTTCTTAACCTAGGTGAGAGTTCCATCCCCTTAGGTGAAGATCACCATTAGCAACAATTCGTGTGGGATTGTCTGTATCTCATTTGCCTTAATTAGTTGCAACATAGATAATAGGGAAATTACCATTGCCTTGTATATGAATGTACATAATATATGGGTTTAACTAGGATGCTTCTTATTAGGGTTTAGATTTGTGTGAATGATTTTTACCTTGATTGGATGACCTAGAGATCTAATTAGAGGTTGAGGTGACTATCCCTTCTAGTTAGATTCTCACCTAGTTGATGCTTGCGAGTAAGTGCGTCACCATTGACTTACCCTCCTTTTGTGCAAAAGGATATAAGTCGTTTAGAGGAGGTAGAACCATCCCTAGTTAGGTAAACTGGTTGAGGTGATATTGGGCCGGCGAACCTACCCAGGAGGAGGATCGATTACATGATCATTGAGTCGATCCCCACCTTCCTTACCTCCTCACCTCAAAGTATCATTATTTTATCCCCTATATCAACATATAGCTAGAGGGATTCGATCCTAGACAACCATCTCATCTCTAGTGGTCTCCCAACCACTTGGTTGGTTGTTTAATAAGGTAGGTTAAGTTAGTCTACCCCCAACCTTCCTATTTGATCATATAGTAGTTTGGAGCAAAGTAATAGTAAGCCTAAGGTTTCCTAGGAATACGACCAAGCCACTTTGATTCATCCTTAGCATCGTTATACTTAGCTTTGTTAGTATAGACGTGAGTGTGGATCGATTACAAATTTAAAGCTTCTCATAAAGTTGTCATGGTGCCAATTCAGTTCTCCCTGCGGCAGAAGGCATGTTCCAATTCATCTTTTAAAGAGGGTCAGATATGGATCGAGTGTAGCGGCTTCCCTCGTGTTTCCTCCTAAAATTCCTGGTGAATCTAACCCCATGGGTGGTTGTTAAGACATAAGTTGCATACTAACTATGACATATCCCTCTAGGTCTTCGTTTGTAGGGAGTCCCAAATGATTGCTGCACTCGGTTTTATTTATTTAATTTTTTTTTAGGGAATTTTCGGTTTTATTTTTGTTCGTCACTTCAATCGCATTGCCTGCCTGCTAGTCCATGAAACAAAATCCAAGGAGGACAAATGTTTCTTGTTTAACGAATGAATGCCACAAATAGTCACCCAACCGGCCCAATTTATAGTTTGCGGTGGGCTCAGACGTTTATTTTTCATCTATCGAAGTGGGCTCGGGCCCGTACTTTAAGTAGCGGTGCAACTAAATAAGTTGCCGCGCAATCCCCACTCACCCTCGGCCTCGTACACAAACACAATCTAATCTAGTAGCTTCGCCAGAAAAACAACTCCTCGAAGTAAAGCGTCCGCAGAAAATTCAAAAAAGCCAATTCCCAGCTTCCTCAGACCAGACACACCAAAAAGCCATCTCCAACCTAATTCCCACCATCACCACGCAAATACCAAAAGGGGAACCCAAAAAGCTTCCCTACAAAATCATTTTCAGAGACTCCAGACTATGGGATTGTGCATTTGTTTGTTCCCCGTCTAAATTTCCTTGTTTAATCGCTAAAAAGGAAAAGTAGCAGCAGTAGCAACCATAGCAAAGCAAAAGCGCGCACTCTCTCTCTCTGATTCAATCGCTCTCTGGCATTCTTTTCTTGCCACCAGAGCAATCGCTTTACCCCACTCTACACCCAAAGCATCTCTCTCACATGGCTTCCTCCTCCTCTCTCTTTTATATCCTCCATCTCCTCTTCTTCTTCTTCTTCACCTTCCCGCCTGCCTCGCCATGCATTCCACCATCGCCACTACTTCTACTGCTCTCCCGACGCTCTAGATTGTTGCTGCCGCGCGGCGCGAATTCGAGATGGCTAGCACCAGCGGCACCAAGAGCGACCTCCCGCGGTCGCTCTCCCGGGCCTCCACCATGATGGTGGATTTGCGCGACGGCGACGCTCCGGTCATCGACAGTGAGGTCGTTCCCTCTTCTTTGGCTTCTATTGCCCCCATTCTCCGTGTTGCTAACGAGATTCAGGATGATAATCCAAGAGTCGCCTATCTATGTAAGACCCTCTTTCTCTATCCCTTCTTCTTTCTTTATAACTTGCTCTGCCTCAATTCCCGCTTAATAGCAGCTCCAGGAAAAGAATAGTTATGAGGATGATCAGTACTAAAACCTTGTGTTTAATTATTTGCGGTTGGTAGCATGATGACAAATCGGAAACACCACCAGCATTTAACACCTAGTGCAAATAAGGATACTCCGACTTCTTTGTTCAGTTCACCAATGCATTGAGCGCACATTTCTATATGCAGTTGAGAGTAGTTTGGGATTCAGCCGGTGTAAACTATCACAACCTTTTCAATGGTCCCCAGGGGTGCACATTTCTCCATTTATGTTTGTTGTGAACAACTGCGATTGTGGAGAAATCTGACTACTTTCTTAACTTAGTTTAGTTTGTGGATGGAAGTCAGCCATGCATGCTTCGTTGGGTTTAAAGTCCGACTTCTTGATAAAATGGTTGAGCTGAGGCTTCTGGTTTGAGGGGCTTGCGTTTGCTAAGGACTTGTTATTTACTGGGTGTATTTGCTAGGGATAAATTAAATAGTCAGAAAAAGTGGAACAATTTGTACTTGAGGCATGGGATCAACCATTATTCTGATTTGGGCTCTGCTGAAGCTCTCTCTTTCATTCTCAATGTTTATTCTTCTCAACAATTTCCACTTTCCGGTGTCATAACTCGTGATATACTGGTATTTGTCTTGTGAGGAAGTCTACCGTATTCATACTTTATTGCTAGATTTCACGCCACAAATTGCGAGGAGCATTCAATCACACTCTTAACATATTATTTGTTGCTTGGGTTATTTGTTTGGTAGTCTATCATTGAAACCTTTATTCTTTTTTGGAGTTCGCTCCAATTTTATGATTAGTAAATATGTATTAAGATAAATTTTTTTCTCTAAACTTCAAGTTTAACTGCTGTTTCTTTTCTTGTTTAGTGCAAAATGATCGATTCTAAGGACCTTAAGATGATGACACTCTAGCTACATGATTGTGGACCATACCCACTTATCTAATCATTTGCCAACCTCTTCTACGTTAGTATGTTACAGGGAAAAAAATACACCTGTTACTAGCATCATTTGACTTTTATATATCCTGTCCATTAGGTCGGTTCCATGCATTTGAGAAAGCTCATAAGATGGACCCAACATCAAGTGGACGTGGCGTCCGCCAATTCAAGACATATTTGCTGCATAGACTTGAGAAGGTAAAGTTGAATCTCCATTCAATTCTACTCCGTTGCATACTTACTGGGACGTATAGAATTTTATTTTTCATCTTGTTTCTGCATTGAATTGCTTTACTTTTGGTTGAATAGGATTCAGAGTTATAAAAACAGTTGAATGGGCTTTGGTACTGGTTCCATTCTTGTTGGGTGGTTCTTGTGCCTTCCTGAAATTGGCTGGTTTATATGTGAGGGTATCTTCCTCTTCTTGTTCTATATCGATCCCTACTATTTATGGTTTCTTGTCGAAGGCTATCAATGATAATCTTGAGGGAAGGAAAAGCCTCAGCTTCATTGTGGTCTGCCAAAAATACATTTACTTTTAATACAATGAGCATCTTAATTTAGTAGTCACCAGTAGTAGATATCAGAGATTCAGGATCCCTTTTCAACCATTTCGTAAGTTCATAGCCATATAATTTCCACTTCCGAAATCATAGTAGTTGCTACCATGTCTAATGTATTCTTCATGCATATGCACTGTCTTCCGTCTACAATTTGCTTGTGCAGTCTACTGGATTGTACTAATATTTCCAATTGCTCTGGAAATGCATAAGTGGCAATGATTGATGATTAGAATTAGCATTGTAGCATGAAAACTGGTTTTTGACCTAGTTTTCATTTCATTCAAACTCTGGCGTTTAGTCTTGCATTGTAGTTCGTAAATAGTTATGATTCTTAACCATTACGGTGATGCTAAGGTAGTTATGATTGATGGACAGCTGTAATGAGTCTCTCTTATGAGGTTGTTAATGATCTCAAATCTCAATAGGTAGTTTGTGTTCTTAGATGCTTTGTGAACAATCCACAAATTTCGTCTATCTTGTATGCAGAAAGACAATACAACTGATTCGTCACTATGCTCGATTTTTTTTATTCCCTTTGGCTAGTAATGTTTCTGGTTCTTTTTATAGGAAGAAAGTGAAACAGAACCTCGTCTTGCAAGAACTGATCCAAGAGAAATACAATTGTACTATCAGAAGTTCTACGAGGAAAATATAAGAGATGGACAATATACTAAAAAACCGTAAGACACATATACTCACCTTTTCATAACTGTCCCTACACGAGTTATGTGTCGGCATGTTTTCTTGAATATTTCTTTTCCAAACTCTTGAAGGGAGGAGATGGCTAAAATTCTTCAGATTGCATCTGTGTTATATGATGTGCTGAAAACAGTGGTACCTTCATCCAGAGTGGAAGAAGAGGTTAGTTTTGTTGAATCCATAATCCATGGATGCTTCCATAAAATCCAGGCATGATTTTGCTAATAAAGTGAGTGTTAATCTATTACCACAGACACAAAAATACGCCAAGGATGTTGAGAAGAAACGAGAGCAATATGAGCACTATAACATTCTTCCACTATATTCTGTTGGTTTAAAACCGGCAATTATGGAACTTCCTGAGGTTGGTCATTCTGCATAAATAACGTTGCTTTTAGCCGTCCACGTCTAAATGCACTGCTTGACTTGGTAAATATGTTTCTCTTGAAAGTGTAGATCAAAGCTGCATTTAATGCTGTACGCAATGTGGATAATCTTCCGATGCCCAGAATCAGTTCCATTCATGGTGCAAACCATGACGTGCCGACTGGAAAGATCAAACCTGTCAATGACATACTTGAGTGGCTTTCTTCTCTTTTTGGTTTCCAGGTAAACTGCGATTCTATTTACATTGAAAAGGTCTATTGTCCATACTTTATTGGGTCTGTCTGTACCCAAACAGAGTTGACACTCTTGCTTTGATATATTTAATTGCTCATGTGACTGGCATAGTTGTTTTGTTATACTCTTCCAACCTTTGTAATATAATTACCTTACTGAACTGATTGCTTGCTTTCTCTTTGCAATGACCTAACCTTTGATAATATTATAAAGAGGCATGCATTTTCCACTGATTAATAGACTCATCTCTTTATAGTCTATAATCTATATTATCCTCTACTATAATGTGTAAAGAAAATATTTTTACCACATCATTATTGCTTGCTTCCCTTTTGCTTATGATTTCCATTCCGTCTCCTAAACATTTTCCTTTCCTTCTTGCATGACGTGAGTGATCAAACGTCTATGCAATTTATCTCTTTTTCCCCCTGAATGAATTCCCAGGAGCTCGATCATAAGCAAATGGAAATAAAATTCATACTTTTTAAGAAAAAAATATTTTTGTGTTGTGGTCAATCCTATAGTTAAAATTGGTATATCCATTAATTGATTAGATGGTCAGTGAATTTCATTGGTACCTTTTTCCAGTTTAACTATTTTGAATAATATCACTTCTACTCCAAGGCACATTTATTCCAGGTGTCTGTGCTAATTGATTAAATTCTATTAAATCATGTTGTCACCTGTTATATAGCATATTTTACAAGATACTGTGTGTTTTAAACTTACACATTCTCATGAAATGATGTTGAATTGCCTTTCCTTGGGGAATCAAAGAAAGGAAATGTGGCAAACCAGAGAGAGCACCTGATATTGTTATTAGCTAATATAGACACAAGGAAACGGAGCCTTGAAGATTATACAGAGGTACTTAACTGTTGAAGTTATAGACTTCAAAGCTGTCATCCATTTGAGAACTTAAAATATGTTTTTTTGCTATTTTTAACCTTTATATTCCAAAAATATTAATTTGAGTTTTTTGCAGTTAAATACTGGCACAATACAGCAACTACTGAACAAAACTTTCAAAAACTATCTTTCCTGGTGTCACTATCTGCGAGTTGAAAGCAATCTCCGGTAAGTTCATCTTATATTGTCAAAGTTAGAGCATCTGCGGTCCCTTATTTTCCTGCTGGATGTTGATTTTTTAGGTTCCCAGGAGGCTTTGATAAACCACAGCTAGAGCTTATCTACATTGGGTTGTATCTACTAATATGGGGAGAAGCTTCAAATATACGATTCATGCCAGAATGCATTTGCTATATCTTCCACAATGTATGTATCCGACATTCCTCCTCGACGGTATCTTTTATTGTAGCCTCACTTCATATCTTCATTATGATAACTTCCCTCATATCTATATCTCCTTGGTGCTGATATATGATGAATTACTGTTTCTGTCTATCTATAAAATCCCTGGTTTTTGACACATTGTTTGCTTCCCTCATATCTCGATCATGTGAGCTACTGATATAACACTGTTTCTGGTTTTCAATCAACATACCTTGGATCCTGTCTTCTGGATATGGTAGCTCCATGGCTTGTTAGATCTTCATAGCATTTCCATGTCTTTGTGGAAAACTATGCCAAAGCGTCCCAGTGATCTATATCTTCCTCGCCTTTAATGAACTAAAGCAAGTTTGATTTATAAGATGGAAACTTTCTGGGTTTGAGGTGCATCTAGTTTGTCAGTTTAGATTCCGTTACAGTTGATAAGAATATTTTCCTTTTTCTTTGGGTCATGTAGAGTGATCTATATATACGCAATGCACAAACACACACTGAACGTAGAGGGATAGAAAATATTGGTACTGCATTTTGAATCTGCTGTCTTTAATGATTTGATAATAAGAAAACAATGACAGTCAAGAAAATATAAGCCGTTATCCTATATGTTGCAAATGTATTCTGCTGTATGGGTCTCTTTTAAAATTTGTCTTTATGCTTGTGAAGAAATGACAAATATCCTTGCATCTCTATTATGTTCAAGTAATTTTGCAGTCTGCTTTTCTGTAGCTAGTTTTTGTGTTCTCGCTTCTGCTGAAACAAGCGATGTTCCTATTAGGTTTTGGTTGGAGACTTGCATCTCTATATCAGTACTTAGTTTCCTTTTCATGAGACTTGCATCTCTATATCAGTACTTAGTTTCCTTTTCATGAGATTTGCATCTCTACATCAGTACTTAGTTTCCTTCTCATATTGCCATGTTTTCAGCAACTCTTGCATATTTTTGTCACCTCTGAAGTATTTCAATTTGTGGTTATCTGAAATTTGATTTATGAACCTGGAGCTAACCTTGACTACACTGTTGTACTTTTTATTTTTTTGTCTTAATGTTCTCAATCTTGGAAGTAAATTCTTGTATTCTATAGTATAATTTTCTTATTTTCTTAACTTGCAGATGGCATATGAAGTTTTTGGCGTATTATTCCGCAATTTACATCCTGTTAGTGGAGAGAGTTATGAAACAGCAGCACCTGATGATGAAGCTTTTCTGCGGAATGTAATACATCCTATATACCAGGTTGTGCGTAAGGTGGGTTTGTAACTCAATCTAACACTTGTAGGGTATGTCCCTTTTATGTTCTTCCTTGTGTCTGAAAAGTGATTATGTTCCCTGAAAAAGGAAGCTAGGAGAAACAAAAGTGGGAAAGCCAGCCATTCGAGGTGGAGAAACTATGATGACTTGAACGAGTATTTCTGGTAGGAACCTTCACTTACAATTGATATATATATATATATATATATATATATTAGTCTTTTATACTTAACAGTGGATCAAGACTTTTCCGTTTTTGTAGGTCTAACAGATGTCTTAGAATAAAATGGCCGATGGATCTCAAAGCAGACTTTTTTATTCACTCAGATGAGGTTTTGCCAACAAATGAGGTACTTAACCTTCCATTACAGTTTTTTTTTTTTTTTTTTGCCATAGCACCTTCCATTACAGTTTGTTTCTAGAACTCTTATGCAGTCATCATCATCGTCATATGAGCTACATATAGTTTAGCAAGGACCATAATCAACTATCGCATGCTAGTCTACCAATTGGTTTCATGTCCTGTACCACTTTATTTTTCTTCCTTTTCCTTTTCCTACCAGCTGTATTGGCGTCCACTTAAAAAGCTTCTGCATTGTGATTGGTCCTTTTTTTCCCATGTATTGAATAGGTAATGTCAACCCAGTGTTGGCAAGAGAGAGAAGTTTGCAAAAATAAATATGGAACCTAAAAAATACTTGTGAGAATAAGCTCGTATCTATGCATTTTATTGAATTTAGACTCATATGCAAGAGTACTAATCTAGATTGAAATGAGTTCATACACATTAAGCCAAAATCCCTTGCATACGATACCTGCTACAATTATATTTAGGAAGGGATTAGGAAGAATATATCTGAATGCCCTCTAGATGATCATTTTCACTGAAGAGAAGTAGCGTCATGGAATCATATTGGATACTGGTCTGGAACTTTGTCCTTTTGTCCTAACGCTGGGATTTCTGTTTTCTACAGAGATCTAATCAGGGTGGCAGTGGAAGGCGGAAGCCGAAAACTAATTTTGTCGAAGTCCGTACTTTCTGGCACCTTTATAGAAGTTTTGACCGCATGTGGATCTTTTTTATCTTGGCTTTCCAGGTATGTTGTGTATTTGATACCTGTTTGTTATGCCCTTATTTCCAATCAATAAACTTCTTCAGCCTGTGCTTTCAGGCTATGTTGATTATTGCTTGGAATTCTGGATCTATTGCTGGCTTTTTTGATCCAGATGTCTTCAGAAGTGTGTTGAGCATCTTTATCACTTCTGCAGTTCTCAATCTGCTGCGAGGTAAAGTGCCTCTACCATATTGCTCGGAGAGAAGATATACTTTTATAGCTTAAAGAACCGTATCTCGTTCTGTGTCTAAAGTGGACATTCTTCCGAGTGAAGGAATGAGTTATGATATAATATTTTTGTATTCTTCTTTGGACGGACTTACTTTGTGGTTACGAATTTTTTATTTATCTTCCTCCTCCTTATTGTGTCTTCTGCAGCTATTCTTGATATTATACTCAACCTTTATGCTTGGAGGAGCTTAAAATTCACACAAATAATGCGCTACCTGCTCAAATTCGCTGTGGCAGCAGCATGGGCTGTTGCTATGCCTATTGCTTATTCCAAATCTGTTCAGAATCCGACAGGGCTCATCAGATTTTTCAGCAGCTGGGCTAGTGACTTTCAAAATCAATCTCTTTATAATTATGCTGTTGCAATTTATTTGCTGCCCAATATCCTATCTGCTCTATTGTTTGTGCTTCCACCATTACGAAGGACTATGGAGAAATCAAACTTCCGGATAATTACTCTACTTTTGTGGTGGGCTCAGGCAAGCATAGTTAGCACTTGAATTATGAATTAAGCATGCCCATTGGTTGTTTAGTTTCTTTTTTCCTTCTGTTTCTGTTTCCTCTTTGTGTCCAGTCAATTTAGTATTCCTTCTTTCTGACGGAATTAAACTTGTTGTTTCCTGTGATGGAATTTACCATGATCCAGCCAAAACTGTATATTGGTAGAGGCATGCATGAGGATGTGTTTTCACTTTTAAAGTAAGTAAAATGATTAACTTGACTCATCCATTTTCATGTTGTGCCTATATATTGATGCGCTTGAACACATGCATGCAAGCTCCTTTTTTTCATCTGTACATATAATATGCCAGAGATATTTCTCTTTTCAGTAGTTCATTTCCTTGTTCTCAGGTATACACTCTTTTGGATCTTACTGATTATAAGCAAGTTAGCATTCAGCTATTATGTTGAGGTATGTCTTATGCTCTCCACCATCAATTATCTGATACCAAGTATTGCATTGAAATAAGTCTACATCATCAAGCTGACGGGAGTGATATGTAAAGACAAAGTAAAAAGAAAAATGATCTTGATGAGTCTAAGACTTTGACTATCTAGTTATATATAATTGTGTGTTTATGTAGGCACATATTTGTCTAAGTGTTCAGTTAGGATTTTGTGATTCTTGACCAGAAGTCAATGCTGCTCGACTTGTATGAAATATATGTTTTTGTTGCGGGGTTGGCTGGTTATGTTTTCCTACTGGTTGACAACCAACACAAGCCCTTTGATGAAAATTATATTGCTAGTGTCCATGAATGCAACCCAAATCTCTTTTATGTGGATAAAGATTTGGCTTGCTTTGTTTAACCATAAGCTCCAGCATTTACTTAAACAGAATATTCCATCGCTTTGTTTTACTAGTACTAGGATTTCATCCTGTTTTGCTCCCAATAATTAAGTTAGTTACACTAAAAGTTATAAATCAAATTAAACACAACCTGTTATGTATTTGTCTAAAAAAGTGTAAGATATAAGGATGCAGTAAAAAAATTGCTAGCTTAATTAACTGTAACAATTCCGCACCTAGCTTTCAACAAGTAAAAGGAAGATAATCTTGATTTTTCTCTTCTTCTTCACTTGTTCAAATAGATATTGCCACTTGTTGAGCCAACGAAACTGATTATGGAGATGAGGATCGATAATTATCAGTGGCATGAGTTCTTTCCACATGGTAAGCCTTGAGCTTTTTCCTACAATGTTTGTTGCTTTGCTGGTTAAATACTTAAACTAATTGATATTGAAAATTGCTTTTGTGCATTTTGGAACTATGTAGCTAAGCACAACATTGGTGCGGTTATTGCAATATGGGCGCCAATTGTCCTGGTAAGCAGCCATAAGTCAAACTTTCACTTTCCATGTTAATGTATGTGTTTATACATCTGAAATATTAAGTCATGTATATTATTCTAAGGGTTAATATAAGCCTCCGTATGCTTTTATTATCGGCAATTGCATAGTGATCTTTTAATTTAAACCTGAAAATTGTGGTTTTGCATATGGTGGTCTCAGAGGGCCAAACCAAGCTGCATTCAATTAGTAACCTATGTGGTTTACTCCAATTTGGGATAATTCAAAACATATATAAGTTCAGAAATGTCAATTAGCAAGAAGTGGAGGGAACCAAATCTTATCAGTTGAATTTGTAATAAACAGCTTGGTGGGGATGCTTGGAAGTAAGAGACTGTCGTCCTGATTGTTATGTCATGTAATATATATCCTGATGTAAGTTACACAATGACCTGTCTTTTCGTCTCAGGTTTACTTTATGGATGCACAAATATGGTACGCAATATTTTCTACTCTTTTCGGTGGCATTCGTGGAGCATTCAGTCATCTGGGTGAGGTTGGTGGTCATTCTCTTGTAATCTTCCATTGAAGCTTATATGGTTATAATGATATTGCATATAGGAACATTTGCTTTAGCATTGTAGAACAGAGGAGGTGCTACTTTATTGTTGATGACTAAATGGCAATATCTGCTGGTCTTCCTGATTACTGTGTCATAATATTCATGTTATTAGATAAGGACTCTTGGTATGCTGCGGTCAAGATTTGAAGACGTTCCTTCAGCTTTCAGTACCTGTCTTGTGCCTTCCTCAAAGAAAAGAGGCAAAAGGAAACATTTGGTAGTCACAGTCTAATGGGTCGACCCAATCTCTTAATTCCTTATTCTGCTTGTCAATATAAAAGAAAAATGAAGAAAAATGAGGGCAACTTGTTTGGTAATATGTTGTCTCTGACTAAAAAAAACATTTAATGTGGCAGGATGAGTCAGCTGAAAGGCAAAGCATTGCCAATTTTTCTCATGTGTGGAATGAGTTCATTAACTCTATGAGAATGGAGGACCTCATAAGCAATGAGTTAAGACCCTTCTACCCTCAGTTCACTAAATAAGCTGATGCTCCAGTACGGGGCCTTTCTCACGTTTTCAATTTGCTGACTGTATAGTGAAAGAGATTTGCTACTGGTACCATCTTCCTCTAATGATGTGTCAGTCATTCAATGGCCTCCCTTTTTGCTTGCGAGCAAGGTATATGCTACTATTTATTTTTCTTGTTACTCTCAATGCTGAAAAGTTTTCAATTTTCTCATCCTGGAATTCCTTATACTTGTTAGATTCCTATTGCTCTGGACATGGCAAAAGACTTCAAGGGGACTAATGGTGCTGACTTATTTAGGAGAATGGATGAGTATATGCGGTTTGCTGTGGTTGAATTTTATGAGACTATAAGAGACATAATTTATAGTCTGCTGCAAGATGATTCAGACAGGATGTAAGAACTTCCATCTTATACAAACTAAAATGAAGCCATGGACCTAAGATTTTACGAGCATAGTAGCCCTCCTTTTCTCTTTTATTTCTTGAATTTGTTTCTTTCAGGTCCGTATCGGATCCTTTTATCGTTTGTGATCCTCTTTATTTTGTGACTGCATGAGTAGGATCATAAGACAGATTTGTTATGAAGTTGACGTGAGCATACAACAACAAAGGTTTCTGCAAGAATTCAGAACGAGTGGGTTGCCTTTGCTTAGTGATAAGTTGGAGAAGTTTTTGCACACCTTGGTATTTATTTTCTGTTCTTACTTCCATTTTCTATTTAATATTTTCCCATCTTTTTTCATTTTCTGAATAAACTACTAATGCTTTCTTGTCTAAAGCTGAGTAATTATGAAGATCCGGATATGTTCAGAGCTCAAATAATCAATATTCTCCAGGACATTATTGAAATTATTGTTCAGGATGTTATGGTTCGGGGCCGTGAGTAAGTTCCAGAAGTAGTAGAGCTTAAGTTGTTGTGCATGATATCTTATCAACATACTATAAGAGCTTCCATAACGAGTATTTCCTGCTGTTGTGTAGAATCCTTGAAAGAGCTCACTATGCCGCAGAAGATGACGAGAGTGTCAAGAAAGAACAGAGGTTTGGAAAGATAAACATTGACCTCATACGAAACAAAACATGGAGAGAGAAGGTAACGTCTGCTGTCACATCCTTTCTTTATCATTTTCAGACTTTATTTGAAAGTTCTAACTATTCCTTTGTCTCTCATTCCTTTGCACAGGTTGTAAGGTTGCATTTGCTCTTGACAACAAAGGAATCTGCAATAAATGTGCCATCCAACTTAGATGCCCGTCGCCGTATCACTTTCTTTGCAAATTCGTTGTTTATGAACATGCCAAGTGCCCCAAAAGTGAGGGACATGCTTTCTTTTAGGTAAGTAATGACGAAATGCTTGAACTGTGCCTATGTTTTCTATTTTTCAACCATTCTCTTCATTTGTTCAGTAGAAATTTCCAAGGAATCAATAGAGATGCAAGTTGTTTTAGTCGGTGGGCATTCAGTTAAAGTGATAGCGAACCATTTGTTCATGTTGTTTCGATAAAAGGGTTTCCAGAAGAATGCATCTTCACTGACTTGCCTTCAGTTTGATCAAGTGCTTAGGACCAATTATTTCAAACCTTATCTTTAGAAACCTGAGAAACTGCTTTGAGTCTCTCAGTAAGTTTTCCTTTTTATGGTCAGTGTTTTGACTCCTTATTACAAAGAAGATGTCCTTTACTCCGAGGAAGAGCTTAATCATGAAAATGAAGATGGCATAACAATTTTGTTCTATCTTCAAACAATATATCGCGGTGAGTTTGAGGATCCATGTTTTCTTCGTGCTTTGTCTTTATGTATGAGTTTAAACCTTACTTGAATGACTTGCTAGATGAATGGAAAAACTTTGAGGAAAGGATAACTGGTTGCGCTCCGAAGGACAGGGCAGAGCTTACTCGTCATTGGGTATCTTATAGAGCACAGACACTTGCAAGAACAGGTATAACACTAGTGTTTTACATGTTCCTATATATTATGACAACCTTATTTGTGGACCTTGTTTAACTTCTCTCACTTGCTTTCTACTCTTTTGGTTTTTCAGTTAGAGGGATGATGTACTATAGACGTGCTCTGGAACTACAGTACTTGCTTGAATTTGCAGGAGAGAATGGTTAGTGATTTATGCTTTGACGTAATTGTTAATACTCTCGCTCTTCTAGGTTTGTGAAGTAGCAACATCACACAGTCAAAATTTACATCAGGGTAGGATGAATCTAAATAGTTTACTAGTAGAGAATACTATCGAAAATTGCTCAGTGTATTTTTATTCTCGTCATTTTTACTTATCGATTTTCTATCCCATTGGTCAACAATGTCATTTAGGTTCTTCTCTTCGGTTCCAATATCTGTAGAAAATCAAGTAGAAGCCAAAACTTAGCAGTGTACTATTTTCACTGTTGTTGTTTGGAAGACTTCAAATTGGTCGATTCGCTGAAAAGATGATGGTCAATCAATGTTTATGGAGGGAGCACAGTTTTAGCGGTTTTCCAATCCAAGTGAAATTAAACATTCAACCTTTTCCTTTGCAGCTATTATCAATGGCCTCCCCAGCATGGAACTCAGTAATGAGGATAGATCTCTATCTGAGCGTGCGCAGGCTCTAGCTGATCTGAAATTCACCTATGTGGTTTCATGTCAGATATATGGTGCTCAAAAAAAGTCCAGCGATGGCCGGGACCGAAGCTGTTACAATAACATTTTGAATCTCATGTTAAAGTAAGTTAAAATGACTCACTATCTTCTTCAACCCATCATGTTCCATAGTTTATGAATCCCTAATGGGTTGAACTTCGTGAAGGTATCCATCACTGCGGGTTGCTTATATCGATGAAAGAGAGGAGACAGTGAATGGAAAGCAACAGAAGGTGTATTATTCTGTGCTTGTTAAAGGGGGTGACAAGTTGGATGAGGTATGATAGACCCTCGTCCATTGTGGAATATGTTGTGGAAAGAATTAATTTGTAACTCTCATGATAGACACAAAATCTTCGTACTCGTTTTGCATTCCCTTTATGCTCTTTAACTTAAAGAGATATGATATCATATGATCAGTGGTCCTTGGTGTTTACTGTTGTAATTCTGGTTCTTCTAAAGCATGCCATGGACAAGCATTAGTTTGTAATGATCATACGAGCACTCTGGCTCTTCTAGAGCACGTCATTGACAAACAAATATTTGTAATTCTCTCAGGTTTAACACCACTCACCGTAGTAGTTTTGCATTTCGCTTATGGTCTTTAACTTATCTGATATCATCTGATCAGAGGTCCTTGGTTCTTCTTGTCTAACATGTTCTTTAAGTGCAATCCTGCTTCTACACTTACTCCTTTTTCGGATCACATGTTTATACCTTACCTGGATGGTGTGTTAATAGGAAATTTACAGAATTAAGCTTCCGGGGCCTCCAACAGAAATAGGTGAAGGCAAACCTGAAAATCAGAACCATGCAATTATTTTCACTCGTGGAGAAGCTTTGCAAACCATTGACATGAACCAGGTATGTTTCTCGTTTAGGTCTCATTCTTCTGCTATTATAATCAACTTTTATGAATAACATTCCTCAGAACACAATTGTCATTGTTGTTTAATAGGATAATTACTTTGAAGAGGCTTTCAAAATGAGAAACGTACTGGAGGAGTTCATAACACCCCGCCGTGGGCCACGCAAGCCAACAATTCTGGGCCTGAGGGAGCATATATTTACTGGAAGGTCGGTATGCATTGTAATAAGCGAAATAAATCTCATAGCACATTGTTGGATATGTATGACTGTCATCATTGAATTTAATCTGTCTGTTCCAGATCAATGTTAAAAACATATATTTACTTTGCTTAATATCATGCAGTGTTTCATCACTTGCCTGGTTTATGTCCAACCAAGAGACAAGCTTTGTCACCATTGGACAACGAATTTTGGCTAACCCTTTGAGGTACGCCTAACTCTCATCTTCTTAGATTATTAGTTAGGTGTATAGAATTTGGAATTCATATTTGCCTTACGTCTCTACTTTGCTTTTTCTGCTAATGTTAATGAGATACCTCTTGGCATATACCAAACCATATACCAATACTGAGACCATCCTCTTTGCGGTTGGCATGATAAAGTAATAATTTTCCCTTCGGGGCGTGTCACATCAATGATCCGGTATTTGGGGTTGGGGACATGGGGAAGTTTAAAAGCTGCGATATTAAAGTGCATTTCAGGAAGCGCCATAACTTGTTCTTTTGTACTGTTGTCCCTTCGAAGATTTTAACTAAGAAAATAAAAAACAGAACAAACTACCGTCATTCTTCTTCATCTATCTGAATTATACTTTCTTTCGTTGTGGGACAGTAGTCTTGATTTTTATTGTCTTTGTCCATTCTTATGTTTGCTTCATTTATTGATTTTCTGTGATTATAATCTCGATCCTATAATCACTTAGAATTTTTGTATGTTATAACTTTACAGGGTTCGTTTCCATTATGGTCATCCTGATATATTTGACCGGATATTCCATATTACCAGAGGTGGCATCAGCAAAGCTTCTAAAATCATAAACTTGAGCGAGGATATATTTTCAGGTAGTATCTGGTCGAACATTATTGGTGCCATTGGCTGTTCGACAACAGTTATCTGATTTAGTGCGACAGCTAAAGCATCTTAATTTTCTTCAGGATACAACTCTACACTACGTGGTGGATACATTACACACCATGAATATATACAAGTGGGCAAAGGACGTGATGTGGGGATGAATCAGATATCACTTTTTGAAGCAAAGGTTGCTAACGGAAACGGAGAGCAGACTCTTAGTCGCGATGTTTATCGTCTTGGGCGCCGGTTTGACTTCTACAGGATGTTGTCATTCTATTTCACGACAGTTGGTTTTTATTTCAGCAGCATGGTATGTTGAACTTGTACCTTTATTTATCATCTTTCTGCTGAGTCCTGTCTTATTATTTAGTTGCCCTTTGGCAAACCATAATAGTCCTAGTACTGCTTCAGGGTAAGTCCCTTTGTAAGCTCCTTTGTTTTGATGATATTGTTCATGATGTGCAACTGTATTGTTTGAGATATTTACTAGGTCGATATGGCTGACAATGTTCCTTGATAAACCAGAACAAGAAAAACTTAATTTTTTTTTAATTATGGGACAGTTACTTCTCCTAAAATAGACTATTTCATCTTCTGGATTGTGCTTGGATTTCGAGCTTCTCTCTTATGAGTTGACTTTGATCTTTTTCACTTGTGCAGATAACTGTGCTTATCGTATATGTGTTCTTGTATGGACGTTTGTACATGGTAATGAGTGGAGTAGAAATGGAGATCCTGACAAATGCAACGATACGACAAAGCAATGCACTTGAAGAAGCTTTGGCCACCCAGTCTGTGTTCCAATTAGGATTGTTACTAGTCCTGCCAATGGTTATGGAAATTGGATTGGAGAAGGGGTTTCGCACTGCCTTGGGTGATTTCATCATTATGCAACTACAACTGGCCTCTGTCTTCTTTACATTTCAGCTTGGAACTAAAGCTCATTACTACGGGAAGACGATTTTGCACGGTGGTTCTAAATATCGGGCCACTGGCCGTGGCTTTGTCGTGTTCCATGCAAAGTTTGCTGATAACTATAGGTTATACTCGCGGAGCCACTTTGTGAAGGGAATAGAGTTGTTGATGCTATTGATTATATATGAGGTCTACGGGGAGTCGTATCGCAGTTCAAATCTTTACTTGTTCATCACGTTCTCCATGTGGTTCCTTGTCGCTTCCTGGTTATTTGCTCCTTTTGTGTTCAATCCATCTGGCTTCGATTGGCAAAAAACTGTGGATGATTGGACTGATTGGAAGAGGTGGATGGGGAACCGTGGTGGGATTGGAATTCCGCCAGAGAAAAGTTGGGAATCATGGTGGGACGGTGAACAAGAGCATCTCAAATACACCAACCTGAGGGGCCGGATAATGGAGATAATCCTTGCCTGCCGCTTCTTTGTCTACCAGTACGGCATTGTCTATCATCTTGATATATCTCACCGCATCAAGAGTCTCCTGGTAACACATCACTTGCTTCTAATATGTCGCTCAGTCCACATCTCTTGCTTCATTTACAAAGCTCACAATTGACATGACTTTTTATCCTCAGGTGTACGGACTTTCGTGGGTTGTCATGATCTCTGCTCTCCTGGTATTGAAGGTTCGTTTAACCACTGCCAAAGGCACTGTTTTTTGGTTATTCGCTACTCCAGTTCTTGTTTTTATCCATAATATTCACATTGCACCTGTATTCTGTTCCCTAATGCTAGATGGTGTCAATGGGGAGGCGGAAGTTTGGCACAGATTTCCAGCTAACGTTCAGAATTCTAAAGGCACTTCTCTTCCTGGGGTTCCTGTCTGTCTTAACTGTATTGTTCGTGGTCTGCAACCTTACAATAGCGGATTTGTTTGCTTCCATCCTTGCCTTCATTCCCACTGGATGGGCTCTGCTTCTGGTAAGTTGCTCCTGTTTAGTAACCATTCACCACATCCGTACCTGAATTTTCCCGAAAGAACAAAACTAACATTAAACCTCCTCTCTGGCTGTGGTTGGTCCATTCGGAAATTTCCAGATTGGTCAAGCATGCAGGGGACTGTTTAAAGGAATAGGATTGTGGGATTCAATCAAAGAGCTGGGTAGAGCGTACGAATACATTATGGGACTGTTGATCTTCTCCCCAAGTGCCATCTTGTCTTGGTTCCCGTTTGTCAACGAGTTCCAAACTCGGTTGCTCTTCAACCAAGCTTTCAGCAGAGGCCTCCAGATTTCCATGATTCTGCAGGGAAGGAAAGATAAAGACGATGCAGCGGCCAAGAAAGATAAGCCTCCGCCCCCAGTTAAATAGACATGTTTTCTTCCCCACAACTTCAGTCACATTCTTATTAGATCAAGCAATCCCACACATTAATTTCTCTCTTGCTTTGCCTATATTCTTTTTGCATATATGTATATGTTTTGTTATAAACAGCATGTATACGGTTTACGGTATACTATACGAGTGATTCTTAATTTTTCTACCTTGGTGTCTTCTACTTCTACTATCTGAATGTTTGTTGGAGAACGTCACAGTTTTGGGTTCTCATTATTTCTTGGAACCCTGAGTGCACCATAAACTTCTGCCAATAGCCATATTTAAAAATAAAAATAAACAGGTATGCCAATAGGCAACACTCCCAACTAAACAAAACAAGCCACTTGGACATTGAACAATTAATATGTAGCTTTGTTCTTCCAAATAAATCTCTTTTGTATGTTGATAATTGCTGCTTCAATATTTGAGAGCATTTCATATACTTAGTCAAAACTTTTGAAATATACGAAATAGTTAGATTTATGATGGTTGTTTGACAAATCTAGCTATTTCCGTTTCAAACTTTAATGGTGTTAGATATTTCGCCAGTTAGGTTAATGACACACTGACTAAAATACTAAATTGATGTTACAAGTGTTACAAGCGTGAAAGTTGTGACTATAGAAGTGTATTTTGTCTAATTCTTACTTATCTTTTCTTTCATATTGACAATAATGTGATCTTTAAGTGTAGCGGTGAATATATGTGACTCGTTCTAACTACAACATCCCGATCGACGACCAAGTATAACCGTCGATCAGATGTAGCATAGGGAAAGCAATCAATAATAATTTATCGTACCTCGGGTATTTAGGCTTACCTTACTTCGGTTTAAGGTTCGTTATCTAGCCAACCTAGGATAGTGATTAATAAAACTAAACTAACCAACCTAAACTAACCACTAACCTAGCTATTTACAATGTTTGGAGCTCTCTTGGGTTAAATCGTCCTAGGTCTGTCCTTTGGATCGATGTTGGGTATCCTCCTAGCTCGATCGACTCAAATACTCTACCGTTAGGAGATGGACTACCTCGGGAATGACCCTGAACGGCGAATCGATGAATGGGGTGTGCTCTATTCAACCATGGCAACCCTATATCGTAGGAGATTGATGAATCGACTCCCTCGGGGGTCACCGTACGATATAGGATGAGGAATGACCCAAATACGCCAATAATGGGCTCTAAGGGGATTTTCTCCTCCTAGGTCAAAAGCTCAAAACATGAAAAATGAAAACCCAACTCATGCAGTTCATGAAAACATCCATCAATTAAATAAAATCATCAATCAAACATGGAATTTGTCACTTACATCAACAACAAACCAAAACCTAGAACTAGGGTTCTTAAACCCAAGAGAAGAGGGTGAGTTTCTAGAGAGAGAAGAGATATATTACAAATTGGAGCCCAAGATCTTCTTCTTATTCTAGGCTTGAATCCTTGTCTTCAAGATCAACCCTAAAGAGAGGATCTGGTGACAAGAGGGGGGGGGGGGGGGGGGGGGCTTAGTCACTTGGCTAAGCCCCTCCTAGCCATTGGATTCTTATTTATCAATCTAACGGTGGAAAATACGGCAAAAATATTTAAATAATGGCAGGGGCAATTTTGGGATTATGAAAATTGTATTTAAGTTTATTTATTTTTTTGTCTCCAGTTGTACTCTTCTGCGTTGCCAACGCCGACCATGGGAGAGAGAGAGAAAAGCAGCGGCGGGGAGAGAACGACGGCGACGGTGGAAGAGAGGGGGGTGACGGCGACGATTGAGAGAGGAAGGAGACCTTTATGGCGCTGACGACGATGGAGAAAGGGAAAGGCGATTGCAACGAAGGCGGCATCGTTGGAGAGAGAGAAAGAAGATCTGGCCGTCGTCATCGAGAAAACAGAGGAGAGAGAGATGATGGTGGAGGAGGAGAGAGAGGGAGTGGGGGAGAGAGAGCGTCGATGAAGGTGGAGGAGAGAGGAGGGGTAGAGTCGGCGGCGGCAGTGAAGAGAGAGTCGGCTCTCGACATTATATTTTGTTGTCTGAGGGAAGAACAATGATTTGTAATGCAAGTGTTGTTAGTTTGTATTATTAGTATATTTGTACATAATGTCAGTATGATTTGTATATTTTGTATTATTAATTTGTACATAAAAAATATTACAAGCATGTTTGATAAAAATGACAAATATGTTGGACAAAAATAACAAAGCTTACAAACATTACAAAAGAACTTGACAAACATTACAAAATAACAAAGCTTACAAACATTACAAAACTAATCGACAAACATTACAAAGCATACTAACAGTATAAAATACCACTACTTACAATACAAATTGGTAAACTTGAATTATAAACCGATGAATACAAAGTATACAAATCAGAGCATAAAAGTATACAAAATAGACAAACAAACATTACAAATTACAATATATACAAAATAGTCATATAAACATTACAAACCTAATAGATAAAAATTACAAACAATACAAATCGAAATTGATATAAACATTAGAAACCGGACTTATAAACATTACAAAGCAGGTTGACAACCATCACAAAATCTAACATTGGCGTCGGAAAATTCTCATCCGCTGTCTCCATTGCCGGAATCTCTCTCTCTCTCTCTCTCTCTCTCTCTCTCGTGTGAATGGCAAAAAAACTGGAGTTCCCATAAAAGGAATGCCAGAAATCTCTGTGCAGAAAAAGAAGCCCGCCAGAGTTCGGATCGTCTGGTCGGGGATGGGAAACACGCGCAAGTTAATTATTTTAAAATTATTTAATAATAAAAAAATATAAAAACTATGAAATTACCACATTACCCTTCATTGAATTGGATTAATTTTAACCATTAGATTTAAATGAAGCTCAAAGTCTGAGATTGGCTTAGTCATGTGATTAAGGGGACCCCCTAGTCACCTGATCTTAGCCCATCAACCCAAGCCTCCATTTAAGCTCAAAGATCACTCAAGCACTCACTCTCTCACTAGAATTCCCCTCTGGTGTTTTGGGTCGAAACCCTAGAGAGAGAGAATCGAAATATACGAGCTCAAAATAGTGGCTATTAGAACGACAAGTTAGAATAAACCTACATGCCATTAAGTTTATCCGAGCTTAAGTGGAAAGGAAAGAATAGGGTGAGGGAAAAGGGTTTTCAAATTCAATTGAAGGCTTCACTCGCTCGCATCACTAGCGACTGTGAACTGGTTGGACTCCAGTTAGACGGCAAACTGCTCTGGAACTTGGCCATTTAAAGGTCTGGGGGTGATTATCACGGTCTTAGAACCCATGATATATGAGTCCAGACCGTGAAGTCATGCACTTCACTCTATAGGGGTGATTTTCACGGTCTAAGGGTATGACATTTGCCTCCAGCCCCTGAATAGTGTTCAGCCTCCATTTTTTTTGGCTTGTTTAGACCTCCGAATGACCCAAAACTCATCCTCGACCTTCCCACACGTGCTAGGACCTGAAATGTAAGAAAAGAAGCACAACCTAGCGTAAAAAAGGTCGAGGGACGATGAAATACCAAGACAAACAGACAAGAAATGAGGGGTAAAATGTGTACAATCGGACCCGAATCACACCCCCACTCTTGAACATTTGCTTGCCCCCAAGCAAACACTTCTCAAACAAGGTAATATTTCAACATAACAACAAAAACTCGGGGACAAATCAAAGGTTACACAATGGATGAATCACAATGTTTATTTGGCATCAACAAATGAACCGTCACAAGCAATATCAGCACGCACCACAAACGACATTCGAATGCATTAAGAACGTGCAAATGAAAAGTTCTCACCCTATTCACAAATCAATACAAGTCTCCATCGGATTACTCATCAACCACAACTAACCATGCATAGAACTCAAGTCCAAGGAACAAACGAAAGGGCGACAAAGGTCCTCACAAGGATAAGATATGAACATGCATAATGTGAATGGATCATTCACTCTCGACAGGTGGGGTCAGGACCTTTTGGTGCAAAAGATGTGCACAATCATAAGCACTCAACCCTATCGTCTCTTCACCATGGAAGCAACGTCTATACGATACAGTTCACAAGGTGGTTGTCGTCACTAGCTTGTCCGGAGGTCTTAGACACGAGTTCAAATGACTGGCAAGGGTCTTGGACATGGGGGGAAAAGGCATTTTGGGTGGTGGAAAGCAAAGCATGAGGTTCTACATCTTCAACCTAAAACCAAAGGTTCAAAGGTTTCGACTAGAACCTTTAATACAAACAAAGGCCACTAGCATCGGCCAAAAACCGCACTTTTCTTCTTCCATACCACTACCAATCACGAACTACATTCAAACACACTTCTTCGGCCTATCTTGTTATCCACAATTCAATCATATTAGCGAAGGATGTCAACGAACAATTAGGTATTTCAATAGCGCGAGTGCCAAGAAACCCTTTCTAGAGCATACACATCCTTTCTTCATGATCTCTATCTTTATTTACCCCGTTTATTACCTCTTTTTCAAATCCTTTTTTTCTACTTTCCTTTCCTTTTTTCTCTTTTTTCGAGGGGGTATTAGAGAGCCAAACACATGCCATTTTTACACTTAATGAATAATGCTCTCTATAAAGATCTTTCCTACAACACTACATTTTCATTCCTAGAAAGAACCGTGCAAAATCCACCTATGTAGAACCTCAATGGAGCTCAAAAGCGAGAACTCCGGGACACAAGGATGACTCACAACTGTTTAGACACAAAGAAAGGAAGGGGTGTCGTTCTTTCGATCACCATTAATCTCAAAACGCGACAAGCTCCTAACATGAGAACGACCCAAAGTCACATAGATCAAAGGGGTTGACTAGGGATAAGATGTTTCGGGACAATCAACTTTTGGGCGTGGACTAATCCTATGCCTCCATCATACTCACTAGTGACAACGGTGAATGTTACACACCACGGCGAGAGGGATCTATCACACATGAAAAAGACGATCGACACAAAACTCACATGGCTACCTAGCCTCCCAATCATCTATTCCAATTTCACAAATTTCGATGCATGGCAATTGTAATCAATGAGTAATCAAGTAAAGACATCCATTCATTTCCGCACACATGAGAACTAAACATTTTCACTATCCTAATGCAATTCTCGATCATCATAATAGGATGCACTCAATCATAAGTAAAAAATTCAATGTCAATGCCAATAAACATAAGATTCTCCCACAAACTGGCCACAATGAACATGCAACGCTTGTAGCCCTCGAATTTTAAAAATTTGGGCATACAACTAGGCTCTAAAGCATTCAAAATCACACCAATCATTCACACAAACATGCATAATAGACTACCCCCCACACTTAATCTCGACATTGCCCTCAATGACGTAAAATAAGGAGGTAGAACGATATTACCGGCTAGGCTGTGAATGTTAGTGATCGGGAGCGGAGGGCGGGCAAGATCCAGAAGAGCAAGGGCATGGCAAAAAACCACCAAAATATCTCTAATGGTCTTCTTATTGAAAGGAAAAGAGATACAAACCGTTGTAATGGGTTGCCTCCCACCAAGCGCTTTTTTAATGTTGTGAGCGCGGACGGTTTCTCTTCAAGTTTCGGTCCATCCAAGAACCTCCTTGAAGTTAAGCTTCTCATCGGTGAGGTGATGTCTCAAGTCACGAGCTTTGGACGAATCCACAATTGAGGTCTCGTGAATTTGAGTTATCATGAGGCTCCACCCACGAGACCTCTCCTTATTTCCTTCTTCCTTCTTCTCCTTGTCCCATACCATGTAGTGAAAAATCGCTTGAATTCCATCGCATCCACCAAGGGGGATCGCCCATGGTTTGGACTTGGCTTGGCAAAGAGTCTCAAATGGGTCCTTTTCCAAAAGTGCATCAAGGTCGGGTGCAAAGCTTTCATAACACTTGTAACTTGTGGATGCTTCATCCACCTCGACCTCGTCCTCATCTTGGACATCATTTGCTCCTTCTACTTCATCTTCAACCTTCCTTCCTTCTTCTTCAATTCGTTCCTCCCTTTCGGAACAATCAAGATCTTCCTCCTCTTCAACCACTTCTTTCTCCTTTCCATTGATGTCTTCAAGTATGGTTTATAGTGAAAGAATCCACGCAAGATCATAGAAATATTCTCTTGCTCCTCCAAACTCGTGACTTGGTCTTCAAAGTTTCTCTCGGGAAGGGGAAAGTGATGAGGTCGTCAATGCAACCATCTTGTTCATCCTCACCACGGGAGCTCTCCGGGGTGAGTTCGTCTTGCTCCACACGGTTGTCATTGATCGCTCCTTCCACCTCATCTTTCTCTTTGACCTTCTCTTCAAGTGTCAAGCCGGGTGGAGGGAGGGGTTGGAAAACCGTGTTGGAGCTTGTTCTTTCAAATTTCTCCATGGAAAGCTCCAACTTATACTTCACTTCGTGTTGAGGGAGATCCAAGTTCGAGCACCATTCATCGGTGCTTCGAGCAAACCGCTCTACCATGAGCTCCAATTGGCTCTTTGGCTCCGGTTGTAGAGTGGCAAATGGTCTTGAGGATTGTCCCATGAAGGTTTCCATTGCCAACTCAAACTTGGATTTTTCCTCGACTTGTGGAGGGAAATCTTCTTTATATGGGGATGCATCTTCATATTCCATTGGTATGGTTCTTCTTCTTGGAAGGGAGGTTGATCATAGAACCCGCTTCCTTGGCTTCCGCCTTCTTGGTCACTCCATGAAGCTCCGGGGTATCCCCATTCGGGTGGTTGTGGATATCCCCACATGTTATAGAAGCCATTAAGTTTCATAATTCAACCTACAATAACAAAAACACAAAAAAAAAAGAAAATCAAACAAACACAAACCACCCTTCAAATGAAGAGTGGATAAACAAAACACAAAACGACTAAAGTAACGACCTAAGCCTTTTTCAAATAACCTAGAATAGGGTCTCCGACAACGGCGCCAAAAACTTGACTTGTTCCAAATACAACATCTCGATCGACGGCCAAGTATAACTGCCGACTAGGTGTAGCATAGGGCAAGCAAGCAATAATAATTTATTATACCACGGGGATCTAGGCTTACCTTACTTCGGTTTAGGGTTCATTATCTAGCCTTCCTAGGATAGTGATTAATAAAAATAAACTACAACCTAAACTAACCACTATCTAGCTATTTACAAGGTGGAGCTCTTTTGGGTTAAATCGTTCTAGGTCCGTCCTTTGGATCGATGTTGGGTATCCTCCTAGCTCAATCGACTCAAATACTCTAGTGTTAGGAGGTGGACTCCCTCGGAAATAACCCAGAACGACAAAGCGATGAATGGGGTGTGCTCTATTCAACATAGGGAAACCCTATATTGTATGAGATTGATGGAATCGACTCCCTCGGGGATCACCAGGACAATATAGGATGAAGAGTGACCCAAAGATGCCAATAATGGGATTTTCTCCCTCCTAGGTCAAAAGCTCAAAATGTGAAAATTGAAATCCAACTCATGCAATTCATGAAAACATCCATCAATTAAGTAAAATCATCAATCAAACATGGAATTTGTCACATACATCAACAACAAACCAAAACCTAGACCTAGGGTTCTTAAACCCAAGAGAAGAGGGTGAGTTTCTAGAGAGAGAAGAGAGATATTACAAATTGGAGCCCAAGATCTTCCTCTTCTTCTTCTTCTAGGCTTGAATCCTTGTCTTTAAGATCAACTCAAACACACACACACACACACACACACACACACACACACACTCTCTCTCTCTCTCTCTCTCTCTCTCTCTCTCTCTCTAGAACTCCTCTTTGGTGTTTTGGGTCGAAACCCTAGAGAGAGAATCAAATTCTCTTCCAAAAATCAGCACTCAATTCTCTCTCCCCGTTGTTTATACACGTGAAAGTGCCGACATCATGGTTACTGTTCATGGCACTGAACTCGGAGGCTTGACCTTGATCTCGGACAAAAACGCAGCATTTTGGGCGACTTCATAACCTAGGGCTTGAGTTCACAGTCTAAGCGACCGTGAACTGGTTGGACTATAGTGAGACGACAAACCGCTCTGGAAATTGGCCACTTCATGGTCTGGGGGTGATTATCATTGTCTTAGGATAGTGATAAATGAGTCCAGACTATGAAGTCATGCACTTCACTCCCTGGGGTTGATTTTCACGATCTAAGGGCGTGACATTTGCCGCCAGCCCGTGACATGAAATGTAACAAAAACAAGCACAACCTAGCATAAAAAGGTCGAGGGACGATGAAATACCAAGGCAAACGAACAAGAATTGAGGGGTAAAATGTGTACAATTGGACCCGAATCAATATGCAACCATGTATGGGGTAAATGATGATGAAGCATCTTTGTGATTGATTGGGGCCTTATGTATGGCTATATATATATATAGTGTCGTATTCGGTGCACCCACTTTTTCGGGTGCACTCAGTGCATCCGCCTCATAATTGTCATTATGACCATGCGATTCATGTAAAAACGGTATCAATTGTTGCTTATGATATTATGAATAAGAAGCACATGAATTTGAAAAAAATCATTCAAAATTTACTTTAATTCGAAGGATTTAGGATTTAGGGATTTAGGGT